CCATAATCTCTGACAAATAATGAAAGTTCTCTTCAAAGGCATCTGAGTTCTACTATTATCTTATAAACCAGTCTCTCATCTCTGATAGTGTGTGCTTACTTAGTCTTATCAGGCAAGCTCTATAGCCATAAATTCTTGAGCACTGACGCTAATGCAAATCTGTGTTCCTGTAGCTGGATGTAATTCCTCCAACTTCTTTGCAGCTCCAGCACTCAAATTTACTCCTTCTAGAAGTAAAATTGTCCCAGACCTTCTTGTCCACTGGAATGAGCTGTTTAGTCTGGTGCCCAGTCTGACACAAAGCAATGTAGAAGGAAGTGTTGTTGGCTCAGACAAGTGCTCCTCTAGCCTAGTGTTGGGTCTCTAACTATGGCAATAGTTGATGCTGTGTTGGACTTGAGCCTGGCCCCTTTTAGTGGTCCATAATGAAACAGCACTGCTTTAGAGATGATAAAGGGTATATCATGCCTATTTCCTCTAATATCTGTCAGTTTATCAGTTGTCCATGAATTTGTGTACTCCCGTGTTTTATATCATGGCAAATGATCCATGCTGTCTTGCTCTCTTGATGGTGTCCAGCGTTTTGTTGGGTGTTTAGGCTGCCTCTGCATATTGAGCTGATAATTTGGGGTCCTCAACTGATACCAGTGACAGCCTCATGGTCTTTCTCCTGAGTTTCAGCTGCCAGTTCCAGGTTCAGCATCACGGCAGCACCCGTGCGCAGATTTCCAGATACCTGTGTCTTTTCTGGCGGTAAAACCTTGGGAAGGATTGGCCAGGTAGCATGCCTGAAAATGCAGAACCTTCATTGGGGCCATAGTGCGTAATGAATTATTCTCTTACGAGTAATCCCAGTATTTTGTCTTGTTTCACCCTAAACAAGAGGCCAGTGGGCAGAGCTGCCAGGTGAAGCAGAAACACGTATGTGCCGTTCCTGGCGAGGGCTCGGTGGCTGCGAGGGACATGAGCTCCCTGTCGCTGGATCTGTTTTCTCCGTACGTGTATTTCCTGACTGAATTTAAGAAAGATGTGTATGGAGAAGCTGGGAAACTCTGACACTGCAAATATATCATTGGTCTTGGGTTTCCTGATTTCACCCATTCTGCTTTTTAAAAAATTTCTGCCAAGGTTCCCCCATTCCTCTACACTGACTCTGTACAGCACCAAGGCTGCTCCGTCATTTCTGGTAATCACTGCTTTTTGTAATCAGTCACTTTTGTAAGCGTGACTACATATCTGTGTCTACACTCACAGACACATAATGTATTCTACCAACCAGACAATTTCCTGGAAGTTGAGAGAGGGGGAGGAGTTGGCGAAGTGAACTCTGCTGTTGAAGAAATCCATTATATAATGGAATAAATGGCTTTATGACTGAAAGTTACAATTTTCAGCATCATTTACACTGAACACCAAGCCCCAAAGAAAGGCAAGTATAAAAAATGAGATGCAGTGATGACCTTTATCAGCTGTGGTGACAGCTATAAATCAGGCTGCAAATTCTCATCAGCTCGCTGGACAGAATTCATTACAGACCGAGGTTGCTGCATTGCTTTTTGTCTTTGATTGAGGTATGTCCCATTTAAATAAATACTCTTGCACTGGAACAAATCACACATTTCAAAACAGAAGTCCAGGAATATTATTCATTTATTCTTTTGAGGACTAAGATAATATGACTTACAGACCAGCTAAACCTCACAGTGTTTTGCTTGGAATATAATGCAGATCAATTTGTTCTTCTCTTAAGCAGACCAATTTTCTGTTCATTAATTCAGATGCTGTGTTGATGGCTTGTATTGAATATAATAGCAAGATTTACAGCCCTAACAAATCAGTGCTGCTTCATTTATTCTTCTTTATTCATACCAGAAGTACCTGCAGCAGATTAGCACCTGATTTTAAACTTGTTACACTTTAACAAATAATGGGGAAATCTTTCATCTCCTACTTCCAACTATGGAGCAACTTTTATGTAATCATCTTGCAGTTTCCCACTTAATTAAACTGTTATTTTTCAGGAGCATAGGAAACAATAAAATGTAGTAGCGATGTCATTATGGGCAGTAATGTAACTTCTGTCAGTTCATGCAATGCTCAAGAAACAGCTACCAAATATTAACAGCCCCACAGACTCATTAGATTAATAAGCTACTTTACCTGTGTACTGAACTTGGAGATCAGTTTCATCTCTATTTTTTTCTGCAATGAAAAAATATCCTGAGAGACTTACAATTATCTAAATGCTTTGCTGGCCATATTTAAAATGTGGTTTTTTTTCTGCCTAGAACTTAGTATGTAATTGGAAAACATTCGGTGTTGTTGACGTAGGGTGATTATTAAAGCAGTAATCTTTTTCAAAATGGCTGACAATTAGGTAATATTCTGTCTCTCAGCTTAGTTATTCCTGTTATTTCTGAAATACCTGAAAATAAAAATTTGAACTGTGTACTTCCCTCATATAACAGATGATACTTCAGCCTTAACAGCCTAAGGATATAAACAGGCAAGGTGAGTAAAAAGCATTCACACCTTTTATTGTATGGCCTCCCAAACTGTTGGCATAAACTTATTTCTTCAGCAGCTGAACATGAAAGCTGGAAGTTGAAGCTGTAAATAAGTTGGTGCTGGATCAGGCCCCAGAGGTTATCTCTTCTGGTGTCTGGCCTTGGACAAGAGCACATGAGTAGGGAAGATTTTAAAAAGCAGATAAATTTCTCAAGATGATAATTCAGAGTATGCTTCTAGTCCCTCGCAATCTCAGGTTCAAGGGCTTTCTGAAAAGTGTCTCTCCTCAAGGTCCACAACCTTTGATGGACTTTTCCATTTTTCTAATTCATGTTTAGATTCATATGTCGTCCTGGCACCTGCTGTACTCTGGGACTGTGACTTCCACAGCTTGTTTACCTTCTGGTGAAGAAATAATCTCTTTTATTTGTGTTGAACCTGTCACTGGCTGGTGTCATTTAATGCCTCCTAATATTTATTTTGAAAAAGGCAGGGAATGAGCATTTATTATCTTCTCCATGCTGCTTATGACTTTTTTGACTTCTGTCCTAGTTCTGTTCAATCAGTTCTTTTCCGGGTTGAAGAATCTTAGTTTGTTCAGTCATAAATCATATGAAGCGATATTTTAAAGTCCTGAATATAATCAGGCATGCTTATGAAAATGCCATGTCCTTGGACAACACTCCAGAACTATTGACAAAATTTTAATACTGTCAAAACCAAACAGGAAGTCTCTTCATTGTCCTGGTCTGCAATGCAAGTCTTAATTTAATTCAGATTCTGCATTTTTTATTCAGGATTGAAGATGTTGATAAAATGTATTCCGTAATTAAAAGAAAGAGATGCTTTGAGAACTTTGTCTATGTGTCTGAAGGGCTGCTGCTGTGATTTGGACCCTGAGAGTCTTAAGTCTCTAAAATCTTGTTGTCTGGAGAGGATCATCCGTATTGCAGCAACAGTTTGGCCTCACAAAATCTGATTCATCCCAATCTCAGGAAAGATTTTTTCTTCCTACGCTTAGACGTAAAACTGTGATGTGTAGGAGATGACTGTTTTTATCAATAGTAAGTAGAGTGTAGAAGATTTTTGTCTGCACTTTCAGAGTATTTTGCAAAGGTGGTTAATGACTGTGATGAGGATAGTCATCACCATCTTAGAAATAAAAGAAAATGGATAAAGAAGGAGTACGCTAGGTCTATCCATCAAAAGCTTGAAAGAACGGGATCTCTGGACCCAGGGTTGTTGTCAGCAAGGAGAGCTGGAGAGAGTGCATCTGCTTGTGGTTACAATGAGTTGGATCTGTGCTTTTATTAATCCAGTAGGATTTAAACTCACCGATGACTCATCCCAGGCAACCCCTATCATATCCAGGGCAACCCATGGATAATGTTTAACAAGTCACGTGTCCCTAACACTTGTGGGATGCACCATGGTAGCCACCATAGCATAGCCACAGTGAAGATAGGCAATGAAGAATTGTTTCCTTAGCTGAAACTGGAGGCAGAAGTTTGGTAGGGTCCATCAGTTCTCAGTCTTAGTTTAGTCAGGTTGCAAAAAAACAGTAACCCTACTCCTGTGTGAAGAAAAGTTGCTGAATCTTTTAATGGCAGTGTGCTTGGGACTTACATTTTATTTTTACCTGTGGGGCAATGCATGTAAGCACATACCAGACTTAAACTTCAGTTTATGACATCTGACAAGATGATAACCCTTTATTGTTGAATTGGTTTTTCATCCTGAACCGTTCACCTGTCACCCAACCCTCATTTTGAGTTTCTTTCATATGTCTACCTCAGCCTTTCTGTCAAGCAGGTTTTGAGAGTTGAGAGCTGGAGACTCTCTCTCCCACCTGTGCAGCAGCTACCAGAGGGGATTATTGTCCTTGTCCAGATGTCCTGAGTGCTGGAGTAGTTCCAAAGTGCAAAAGAGACAAGCTGATTTGTCTTGTTCCATGTGAAAATGACAATTTCTTTGCATGCATCTCCTTCTGGTATAAGTTTGCAGGACAAATGATGGAGTTGAAAGATCTGCACAATATTAGATTCCAGAATCCGCTTTATTAGAGGGTGATTTGCCTTTTACTTTCACAGACTTTCTGGGCATCTGGCTTATTGAACTCCTACACAGACTGAGGATCTTGGAAACCTTTAAGCATAAGGAATGGTTTTTGACCTTGTTTTTTTCTACACTAAGAACATAGCAAGCTGTGTATATACGTTCAAAGCAGGGCACCCTCTTGCATTCTGCTCTGGGAATGTGTGGCAGAATAAATACGTGGCAGAATAAACATGTGACAAACACTAACCATGTTGTTTAATGACTAACCTGGAAGCCACTTTAACATCACAGCAAAGGCTGCATTAAAAAAAAATAAATCTGTGTTCTTTAGAGGGAAGTTCCCAGCAATTCTTTTGGTTCAAGCCCATAATTAGGTTCCACACAAACAGACCATTTCAGGTTTCCTTAATGTTCTTTTCTTTTTCTCCTTGCAGATAATGAATTCATTTATAGAAACCAGAATGGCACAGTGATTCTGAGGAATGTTGAAACTAACAGTTCAACAATATTAATAGAAAACAAAAAAATTGTAAGTATTTTCTATAACGAGTAGCAGAATTTCACACTTCTCTTGCAGTTGGATCAGTAAAGCAGAAAATTACTTGGATTTCCACTTCTTGTATTGTCAAGGAGAAGCAGTACACCGGTAATACTATGGGCTACACAATGACTGATAATGTGAAATTGAACTCCAGCTTTTGTTATTATTCTGCAAGCTCAGTTTCTTTCATACTACAGAAAAGTATCATATAGATATTTGAATCTAGTCTTGCATATCGTATATAATTGAAAGATGCATAATTCTCATCTTTGCACGCTTAATAGAAAAGACAATTGATACAATTTACTGTCTATTGGTAGAATTCTCCACATTCCTCCATGCAAATATTTATTTTTTAATTTCTGGATTTGCTGATTTTTCTTGCCTTGTGGTTGAAATGTAATTTCAGTGTTGTTAATGAATAGTGTTGATGAATGGAAATGGGTTGCATTTGAGACAAACCCTAAGAAATTATTGGGAACAGAAGTTGTAAGTGGCTATTAAAATGTATGAAAATAAAATAAATTCACAGCTGATAAAGTATTTAAAATGATCAAAGTGTTTTGTAGCATTGGTTTTTGTAGTAGATGAAGCCAGCATTGTGTCAGAAGTTAGTACATTAAATGTCAGAGTGTTTTCAACATTTCCTGTAAGAGGTTAATTTCCAAAGTAACATATATTTATGTTTTCTTCGACGATGATGTATGAATCATGTTGTCCTGGTAAAATGGTCTCTTATGCAGCACCTACCTAAGGTTTTGGTTAACTTGAGGTGGTTTTGTGGTACTGTATCATTGCAAAACTACAAAAGCAGAGGATGGCTGACAGAAACTTATCTTAATGACCCAAGATCTGCAGAAAACAGCTTTAGAAACTCAAAAAATCTATGCAAGAATCTATAAAGCCACATTCCAGGTGGACTTTATTTTGCAGTATGAGTGTACAACTCATACATAGCTAGACTACAGTATTAATTCTTTTTTAACGAGACAAAGAATTTATCACTGAATTATTTTTGCAGGACTCAACCTTAAACTCCACATGCTGCCATTTAACCTTCTATCTTTGCTACATCACATAAGCAATCCTCTATTACCAGAACATAACTCCTTTCTTTACAATTCTGCTAATGGTAAGGGGATGAGCTGGCTTCCTTTGATGTCTAGGTCTGTTGAAATCAGGCAGCTTTCATTTGGCCTCTGCATATTTTCCTGTTTTTTGACTTTTGCCATTTGTAAGAAAAGCACAGTGTTACACGATTATCCTACTTTTTGATGCCATGGCCTCCCTGCTGCCTGTTCTACCCTGGTTCCTCTGCTCTCTCGATGGATAAATCTGCAGAACATCACCTCCACATTAATCCAAAAAGTCCTGATACAAAAGCTGCTGTTACACCCTATCCAGGCACGTTGTCTGTGTCCTCTTCCTTCCCAGCCCTGGGTCAGAATGACTTTTGCTACCTTGTTATGTTTGCCTTTCTCTGTATTATTAATATAGCAGTAAATAAAATCTGTCTTCATGCTGACTCTGCTGGTTCTCACGCTTCACTGGCACTTCCCATCTTGATCCACACTGGTCCATCAACCTATTAGGTTGCCCAGAGAGGTGGTAGATATCCCATGCCTGGAAAAACTGAAGATTGGGTTAGATGGGGCTCTGAGCAACCTCATCTAGTTGAAGATGTCCCTGCTCACTGCAGTGGGGGTGGATTAAAGATCCCTTCCAACACAAACTATTCTGTGATGCTATGGTCAGTCATCTCTGCCTTTGGCTGTCCCCTGACCACCGCCAGCCTCACTGGCCTTGTGGAGGACTCTCCCAATGGGATGCTGTGCATTTTCTGGAAGTCCAAATTCCCCCTTCCAGTTTGGTCCTCAGGAATCTCTCAAGGATTTGCATCTAATTTCATAGATTTCACAGATTTCATAGATTTTCTAGGTTGGAAAAGACCTTAGAGATCATCCAGTCCAACCGTCCCTAATCTCCCATTAAACCATATCCCTAAGTAGTTCATCCACCCTTTTCTTAAACACATCCAGGGATGGGGACTCAACCACCTCCCTGGGAAGCCTATTCCAGTGGCTGACAACCCTTTCAGAGAAGAAATACTTTCTAACATCCAACCTGAATCTCCCCTGACTAAGCTTATACCCATTTCCTCTTGTCCTATTACCCATCACTAATGTAAAGAGCCCTTCCCCCACCTCCCCACCATCCCTTTGTTAGGTGAGAGGATGAGATTTAAAAGGCAGTGGAGAGGCAGTATGTTAGTGGCACCTCTCTTTGACCTTGGTGTGCCAGCGATGTATTTATATAGAAACACACTGGAGAAGAGAAGGTGTATCTGTGCTATACAAATGATAAGTAAATCCCGACAAGTCTGAGGTATTCTGGCATGTCTTCTTGTTAGTAAGGCTTACAGCATGGCTTTTTGCAGAAGACAGGCCGGGGTATGCCGGGAAAATTTTATGACCACAGCATCACAAAGACCTCTTTGACTGGGGAAAATGGGATAGCATTCCTTGGTGTTGTCTTAATTGGGACAGGTACTTGTGTCCTTTTATAATAATTTACTCCAGCAGGTATTTACTATTTATTATCTCCAGCACTTTGGCCCGTGACTGCAGGGAATCAGAGGCAATTAATAAATTGTCATTTACCAGGGTTTTCTACTACCTGCTGCCCACAGGTCCCCCCAGCCACTGTGCAGTCGGGTTGTAAGGAAAATTCTTATTTTTTTTAAGATAGCTGCCTGCTCTGAGTCACAGTGGCATGAAAGTTATCCCACTTTCTCTTCTGGAAGCATGTAAGTACCTACATAATATTTCTGAGTTTTGAAAGGAGATGTAATGTATTATTTTTCAAGACATTCAGTCTGACAGTATTCTTTATTATTAGAAGGGTGATCATAACAATTAGTTCTAGTTGTTATTGGTTTGAAAAATGAAAAATATTTATTTCCATGTCTGATTTTTTTTTCTAGGTGTCCTTAAAGGCTATTCGATACGAAGTGTCACCTGACCGGGAATATGCTCTTTTTGCTTTTAGTGTTGAACCAGTAAGTAAATGGATTTGATTTCCAAATAATACACAGCCAGTGGCGAGCTTTTTTTTTTTCTATGCCAGTAAGATGATATTTTAAATTAATTACTTCCTATGAAACAAAGAAAGAAAACCCCTCACTTAGATATTCTGAGAGCATGTCACACTGCCATCTAGTAGAGGAGAAAGGTATAAATTACACCATAGAGGAAACACTGTCATTGTCAGGATTTTATAGTCTTTGGGAGGGGGATTGTAAGGACACGTCTTTGCTACAAGGATTTCTGTTCCTCTTCTGTGATTTTTTTTTTCCATGGTGTCTTTTTCAGTCACACTATAAATTTCTTCCACAGAACAAAACGCAACTGTCAGTGTCTCCCACAACTGAAATAATACATTAATTATGGTGTCACCATTCCCATTGCTGCAGTTAGGGTTGAGCTATCACTTCCATTATAAATCCTTTTCTTCAGAGGGTTAGGTATAAATCATTTGTAAGAAATCACTGCTAGGTTACTACTAGGTTTTAGATTAGGGTGAGTTTTCTACCAAACTTTAAAAGAGAAAAGTGTAATGAGTTATTTTTAAATGATGACTAAAGAATCAGACACATGGGAAGCAGTTATTGGGCATGAATAATATTTATTTTCTTTTAAAATTCTGCAGGTATAAGACCTGAAATGTTTGAATGATAGCTATACTGTACTGCTTGGATAAACTGTAAGCCTCATACATTTTATTCCATAATCTAGAATTGCACCAATTCCTCAAAATTGAAATAATTCATTCACCAGCAACTGTAATTCTTCTTCCATAAAATAAATCTAGTTTCAGCTGCTAACCAAAGGGAATTTGTTGGTCCTTAAGGTAGTAGAGGTTGTGGCTCTGTTGCTCATCTGATTTCTGTGCTGTCATCTTTGGAGTTATCCCTGTCTCACAGTGGCATAAAAGTCAGGAGAACCATGCCTGCTGTTAGAAAAAGTTCAAACAAAACTGTATCAGAAACTTTAGAGATAATTCATAAAGAGTTTTTCCTGCGAAACCATTGTTGGTGCAACTTCACTTACCTGAAGCTTAGCAGAGTTCTGGACAGGTATGGATGTGGAAGTGTTAGGTTAAATCTAAATGCAGGGAAGGCAGCCTAATGCAAAGCCTTTGCCTGAAAGCCCTCGTGCTGTGTGTGCCAGGGGTGTTTTGTAAAATTCAGTTCTTTCAGTGGAGATTGGCCTTTGGCTGTGGAAGCCCTGTGCCGGCACTGCTCAGATGCGTTGTGCAAGCTGGAAGAGCTCCAAGGAGAGAGGGCTTCCTCAGTCCCTCTGGTAACACAAGAAAAATTCCTGTAATGAGGAAAATTGCAATGAGAGAAAAAAATTCATTTCTGAAAAGAAGTAGTAAGAAATTTACTTTTTATTCTCAATCTTTGTCCAGCGAAAGGACTGCATGCTGGGAAGATCTCCAGAAAGCAAATTTACGGGGACTTTTGTTGCCCAGACTTTGCTCTCAGCTTGCAGAAGAATGCTTGATGTGGGCAATGGAGGAGGAGGAGGAAGAGGATGGGGATGGAAAACGATGGGCTGGATGTGTTTCCTCTGCATCCTGCTCTCTACATATCAGTGCTTGCAGATCTGTGGTTTTGAGGTGCAGGGAAAATGCTGGAGGTTTAGTGCTTTAGATGCCTGGCTGGAGATGAGAGCAGAGCACGGCCAGGTGCCCCCTTCCTCACACCACGTCTGCTTCCAGAAAGGAGAACTCAAGGTGGCAAGCTGGAAACATGACCTTTGGGAACATTTCAGGGTGGGACTAGATGTGTATTCAGTGTGAGAGTGCATTGCAAATTGTTCGAGTATTCATTTATGAGATCATGGTAGCAAGAGTTCCCGAAATTCTCTGAAACAAAACAAAAGTAAACATCCTCCTTTTTTCTTTCAGATCCATGATTATAAAGGAGACAGCAATTTTTTTTTTAAAAAAAGAAGCAGCATGCTAATAAAGGGATAGTAAGATTGCTATTGAATATTAGTCCTTAAGCTATGATGGGTGGCTTTGTTTATTAAAGTTGCAATAACTGTTAAATTACTCATTCAGCTTTCTTCTCACTTGGTGTGCAGACTGTGGTTACAAATAATTGCACGTTAGTTAGCTTTTCACATATTCTGCATTTCACACTGTATTCTTGGACAAAATTCAAATTACGCTGTTTTCTGCAACACAAGGAATTGATTAGCAAAGCCTTGGGCAGTTGTCCTTGTTGCAAAGTCAAAGGGAAATTTCAGGAAATGTATTGGCAAAGGACGGTGTTTAAAGTTTAATTCTACAAATACTTTCAAAGAAGAAACTTCTTGAAACTACAGTATACTCATTTTATAGGTTTCAGAAATTGTTGCTTTGTTTTTTGCCATTTAAAAGTGTGATGTGCTGCCTTTTGTTTCTGAGCACAGGTGTTTTCATAATTTTTTTACTCAATACAGTTGTGCTGCATTTATGTATGTGTAATCTTAATATCTTAATATACATCCTATCAATTAATCATTTATCTGAATTCTAAGATGAATGGATTCAGCCTCTATTTTTAATACCAGATAGGAATAAACATCAAAATGGAAGAACATAGTGTGTCACTCAAATGAAGTGAAATATTTTTAAGAAAAATGCTGCAAAGTCATTTCCTGCCAGTAATAGCTTCCTTCCAAGGTTTTTTCTCTTTATTTGCACAGAAGCATCTCTGCTCAGCGTTGTGTCTGGATAACAGCACTGACACCCACATTGGAATAACAGAGCCCTGAACCAGCAGACACCTATTTTGCAAAGATATTGAGGCAACTAATGTTGTTTTCCTGTTGTATCACTTCATCATCTTAGAAGATGATGAATTAAAGCGTGTTCCTTAAAATATATTTATTCCAGGAAGCCTGGCAGGCAGTTGTGAGGATTGGCATGGGTACATCATGGCTAGTCGGGCTGTCAGGTTTCATTCTAAACGCTTTTTTTGCAGTGTTTATATTTACAGAAGTTTAATCTTTCAGGCAGCAATATTCTGGGTAAGCCTTGTGCTAATAGGGAGCTTTTCTAACCTTGAACGCAGAAGATTTGTTCTTTTTCTGGAAAGGTCATAGAGAATGTGCCAGGCTTCTTAGTCTTTAAAAGGCTCTTGCAATTTTTCTGTTGTTTGTGTTTGTTTCTTTACACTGGAACAAGGTCCAACCTGAGGCTGAAAGCACAGGGTAAAGTTTTGGGAAAGCATTGGGGAATAGATACACTCATAGAGAAACTTCAATTTCAAATCATCCTTCCTCAAAATATGTATGTGAGGCTCTGGCTATAGGCTTCAGCAACCCCAAAACACATAGGCAAATCGGGGTTTAGCTGCAGCATCTCAGCAGAAAGGGTGCAGAATGTTAAAGCTGTCTCTTGTGCTCTCACATCAAAGCCAGTCTTGCCCAACGCATGGATCCACCAGCATCGCTGGATGAGCTTCATGCTCCCTGGATGCCTCCTGGGGAGACACAGGGGTCTCTGGTGTTTGGGCTGGAATCATGATCTCCAAAAGGGATTTCCTAAATAGCCAAGTGACAAACCACCTCTTAAATTCAGTAGTGTTTCTGCCACTGGGAGGGTGATGAGGTAAGAGTAACAACGAGTAACTAAATCCCATGGGCTTGTGTAGCTTTCTGTGGTCATCAGACCTAACCAGTGGAGTTGTGTAATGGTGATAAAAGAAACAGAGGAAAGTAAATGAGAAGAAAAGTGATTTTCTTGAGTGACATGATGAGATATTAAACAGAGGATGTTTAATTACCTTTATTATGAATAGCTGTCGTCATAATGCAATAGAGGAAATAAAGTGGCCAAGATTCTTCTTAAAGCTATTTGTTCTTCATTTCCAATTTACCAGTCCATTACTGTGTTTGAGCTAGTTAAGAGCAATTACACACAGGAAATCCCAGCTGATTAATACGGACCAAACTGCTAAGTCTTCTGAACAACAATTAGGGCTTAGGGACTTTTACGGCTGGTACAACAGCCGCTATTACCTATTTTGCAGTTAAAGGAATGCATTTTTATAATGCTGAAAACTGCAAAGAATTAATCATCATTGTAATTAGAGCAGGCCCAACTATTTTTTTTTTTCGAGCAGTTTGTGTGGTGAGTTTAGTATTTCTTTTCACTCTGCCTATTGCCATAGATCTCATGGGAGTGATGGGACCAGAGACCTCAGAAAGACCCAGTCCAAACCCTGGACTTTGAGTTTAAAGCATGAATGAAGTAAGAAAGCATTATTTCTAGAAAGCAGTGTGTTATTGTTGTTGTTGTTACTATTTTTTACTATTTGTCCAAGTGTGGTTGTTATATGGAATGAACAGGTTTTGTGCTTATGGTTCCAATTACAACCTCATACTGCTTTAATTAGTTGTGTAAAATTAAAATAATGTATCTCTTGATATTTCCAACATACTAATGGGTATAAATATTAATGAATTCTCACAACTTCCTTTTGAGTTAGATAAGAACTATTATTTTAATAATTGTGCCTCTGAAAATTAGACATTGTCATAACTATCGTCAATAATAATGCTAATATTGTATCTATGAGGTTTGGTACTTAATTGAAATGGATTTACCAGTACTAGGAATAAGTTTGCATAAACCTGTTTTCTTTCTATGGCAATAAATATGTTTCAAATTTACTTTTTTCATTCCTCCTCCCCATTGTTGTTTTCAGGAACAATTAAAATGTGTAGTGATTGCACTATATAAAGTGAGCACTATTAGAACATTTGTACCATAAAATAATGCTACCTGGTTTAGTGATTTGTTTAATTTTTGGTGTTTGTTGTAAACCAGTAGAATTTTTGAGTGGAGCATTTTGAGGAAAAAAGCTCCTGTTTATAGTTTTCATATTCTTTTTTTCATATGAATGCAGTTTTGAATCTTCATTGCTCATAAACCAGAAGGACTCTTTCTGTGTTGTAAATCTGCACAATATAAGGGCAGTGTTGACTATCATCAAAGGATAGT